GTATTGTAGAGATGTTTAAAAACCTGATTTACACATAATAAAAATTTATGTAAATATGTAATGAAACATCAATTCTTACGTGATGTAGAAAACAAACAAATCCTAACATGATTTACCCTTGCGTATTTGAGAGAACACCTAAAGTAAGTGTGCAAATCAGCCAAGCATGAATTTTCACGTCATACAAAAAGTAATAAGCCGTTCTTACCCGCACCGCCGTTGATAATTGGTGGATTGGAAAGGGGAAAAGCGTATCCTCGCGTGAAACCACCTAAAGAAAGATGAGTATTTTAGTCTTCAGAAATTCATCGATCTAATGCTAAACGTAATGAGTGGGTTGCCGGAGCAATCTATTGCCTTCAAGTAGCAAACAGCCAGTAATTTATGAGCTCTGCGCTGAACATAATACTTAACCGGACCGGTCTCTTGGAGGGGAGAGTTAAGTGATAAATTATTTTGTAAATTATTACTAAAATAACGTTTGACAGAAAAAATTAGAATTAAATTGTTTCATGGGGGGAGAGTACGGCGAGGCTTTATTCATTAAAACGTTTTCATAAAAAATTCTAATACCACGATGCTTTTTATAAAAGATTTATCTTTTAAAAAACAAGAAAATTAGAAGATTTAATATACACATTCGTCCTCTCTCTCACACAAACATACACACAAAAATACACCCACATTTAATATTTATTTTCTTCCTTAAACCATTAAGATATTTTTGAAGTAAATGAGGAAGATAAAGAAGTAGAGAGAAAATGCTAGAGAGGTATGGACTACAATAAAGTTAAAGTGAACAAAGTGAAAATAGGGTAATAATACAAGTCTAATAAATAAATAAATAAATAAATANTTAATCGAGGATTTACTTAAGAATAGTAAACTAACACCGTTTCTCGTCTTTTCTTCATTTTAATCCAGTTGTATTCTCTTTAACCACGGAAAGATATAAGGGGTATTCACAATCTTTATGTTAACTCTGTGAATTCTGTTAGGTCCTGTTAGATCGAGAAAAATGATGACGTAGACTAGTAAGAATCGGCTAGTTAGCATTGCCCGATCTAACAGGCCAGGGCCAATGTTAGATGTTAGGTCGAAAATGTAGTCACATTGCTATCCGTTAGGGCGTAGGTAACCAACATGGAAGCCATGAATTTGACAGATGTTTTTTGAGGAAGGCAAGGAAACGCATATTGAGATGCGACCTTCTTTTATACAAATGGGTCGAAGAGCAACTGAATAATGGAAATTGTGTAATTGTGTTCGCCTGGGTCCCGGGCCATGTCGGACTTCGAGGAAATGAGGAAGCGGACAAGTCCGCTAAGAAAGCGGCTGCGACCCCATATGACCCCGAGTCCCCTATTAGCCCGATGGATCTAAAAAGAAAAATGATAAATTCGATTTATTGTAAATGGCAGGCTCGCTAGAACGAAATGAATGAAAAACTAAAAATACATAAAAGTACGGTGAGGCCATGGCCCATGGAGAATTTGGAAAAACGTAACAAATAATATTAACAAGGTTACGAATATGTCACACATGTCACACGCACGGTCACCTCTTAGTGGGTAGAAGGCAAAAACGCTGCCCACTCTGCGAAAACCCGGTAACGGTGAGACACCTATTAGAGGAATGTAATAAGTTAAGAGTGTACGGAGAACGGTGTGACCTACCATCTCATCTGGAAATAGTTGTTAAGCATATCAGTGACTTCAAAGATAATCTTATTAAGCACTTAAAATTGATAAATGCGTATGGATACATATAACCAACCACACGTGGTATATCTCCATTTTGCAGGGTGAATGTATTTATTAGTGGGTGATGAGGTATGTCTAGGTGTTGCTGTGACTGAATATCGAGTAGCTCACAGGCCCGCCAAATTAGTTTAGGTAATTATATATTTGTTGTGTGATGTGAGGGACATGTCACCGCTATCAATGTTGTAGTAATACTACCGAGATGCTGCGATCTCTCCAATATGAATGTATTTATTACCGTGAATGTTTAGCGTAAATGGACGTGGTTGTCGAGGTATATCGAGTACTCCACAAGCTCGTCAAAAGGAAATTAATCTAATGGATGAATGAAATTCTGTACATACTGTATGAATGTATTTATCAGCACGAATGGAAAGAAGTCGGTAGGATTATGACTATCCTACCGACTTTTTATTTAGTTGTAGGGGTAGGACTTCAGTCGTGCACCTGTATTCTGAGCCTTGCCAACTGTAGATTAAGTAATAATTTTTTTAGCGTGAGTGGGTATTGTTAGTGAGTCTGTAAATATTGAAGTATTTACAACAAACTACGTGTGGGATGGTAGGAAAGAGCAAAAAAAAANTTTTTTTTTTTTTTTTTTTTTTTTTTTTTTTTTTTTTTTTTTTTTTTTTTTTTTTTTTTTTTTTTTTTTTAGCAGTTGATTTTTAGCGACAGCTCCAATGCTCCTTCTCTTGCACCAAAACCAACGGCTATAGTTAATTCAGTTATGGTAAACTATATTGGAAATTTCGTCAAAAATGATATATTCAGGTTCAACAATATTAATGTTTTCTAGGTAGAATAGCACGTTTACTGCAAAACGTGTTATAAGATTTATAGCAGGTATGAATCAACTCTTGGCAGTCAATAGAGGAAAGGTTGATCGTCTATAAAAAATGAAATACTCCCACTTTGCCCATTGCCCTGTTCTTGTTTTAGACGATAAATTTCACTTATAATGGTCTAGTTGAAATATTTATAAAATAAATCGCCTGGCTGTGAAGAAATTGGAAGATCCACTCGGGTATTGACTTTGTAAAGAGGCAAATGGTTGTTTTATAAATTTACGCAACGGAAGTAAGCTTTCTGTGTAAAGTCGGGGAAAATTGACAATTTAAATTTACGTTTCGGTTTTATTTAACGAGAGGAAATAGTGCAAAAATGAAGGTACTGTGAAAAATACTTTCATTGCTTCAAAGATTACGAAAGTGTTACATTTTTAATTAAATTCTAGATCACATTAGTGACCGTTAATCGATAATTATTCAGAAATCGTGAGATGCGGTCCAGACCGCATCTCACGATTTCTGAATAATTACTTGTTCGCAATTTTTACCGCACTTTTCTTTTGCATTATTTTTATTGACTTTAAACATCTATGAAGCAATTAAAAAGTAAAACTGCTATAAATCCAAAACAATTGACTAAATACAACATTGAAATGAAAACTAAGTGAGAATTTACTAAGTCGTACTCCAGTAGAAGGAATAAATAATTATTATTGTTTCAACTTCCTTCATCACTACATACGAAAATCTTAGAAATGGAGTTCGATTACTTGGGTCCGTTAACTCTTTTTACAATATTCTATAAAGGATAGAAAGAAAAGATGGTAGGACTAAATAATATGGTATTATATATAAATAATTGGCACTAAAATAAATGAAAACATCGGATCAAGCGATTTTTGTTCGAGCCCAAAACATTGGTAATCTTACTCATAGGGAAATACACCCAAGTTGAAATAAATGCCATCAAGGCTTGTAGCTTAGAAAATCTTAACAGAGATTACACTGACAAAGCTATTAAAGTATTAGCATGTAAAATAAATTACATCAAATAATCATTCTTTAAAATTTAGTAAGGAAACATTAAAACCTTATGATATATTGGGTATCAAGACACAAGGAAAATTTGGGAAATGAAAATACAGGGCACAAGATCCAATAGACCCTGAACCTATTCTTTTGATAACAAAAACGAACACAGATTTCTCTACCAGGAATGGATGAAAAAATGCAAAAATGTAAGCGGTTAATCTCTGCAGGTTTCAGCCACAATAAACTTTTGTTAAAATAATCGTCACTAAAACTAGTAAACTGACTGCACCAGAAAGAGACAGCAAAACGAAGAGAAGTGAAAGGGAAGTGAGAAAACATATACACAACATGGATATGTACCACAATTTTCCATTTGTATGTTATGAAGAGGGAGAAACATCCGCTCATGTCATCACGAATGCGACTCAACCGCTCAGAGGAGATGTAACAATGAATACAAAGATCACCTAGGGAAAGGAATTCTAGGAACGACAGTCAATTGCCTACTACTTCCTAAGAAAAGGATCTACAAATTTCATTGGTCTAAGAAACTACGAAAGCAGAATAAGCCAGAAGACTCCAATGCTTGGGGAATAGAAACCCCACTTTCTTCTATCGTCTTAATCAGCTGCGTCGCATAAGGATCACGTGGCCATCTACGTTTTTCGACGGGGATGATTATCTGAGATAGAATTGAAACTGAGCTGAAAACCAACATATTGGAATGTATGGAAAGCGATTAATGGAATTTTTTTAATAGATTTAACGCTACAGGGTTTTGCCAATTTTTGTAGAGTGGATCATTTTTGTTAATGTTTTGCCTTACGGTGTTTTCGTGGTCTTCAGCAATTGGTAATTAGTAGGATGTATTTGCTAGATTGTATGTTTGCTTTTCTGTCTATGTGAATGACGTTTATTTGTGATCTCTTTTATGTGTATTACGGTTATTACTTTATTTGTAGTGTTTTTGGTGTAGACAATGTAGGATGCAAATAATTTGTTGTTTTTAGCTCGTTTCCTTTTTTACAAATTGTTTTAGTAATTTACTTAGTAGCTTTTCCAATCTACTAGATTATGCAGTTTACTTTTTCTTATTATTATATCTTATATAATTTAGTTTCTTCCCTTCTTTTTAGTTTGTTTTTGTCGTAATTTTAGAGTTTATGTCCGTAACGATATGGCTAAAAAAATTAGGTCAAGTGGACAATACTGTAAAGCTAACTTAGCCAGGCCCCAGGGTGAGATTTTAAACTTCCGGGGGTTTTGGGTCAAAATGAATATGATTTATTTCCCAGAATAGAATTTTTAGAAGACTTGGAATGTATATATAATGAAAACTTCATTTATAATGAAGGGGTTAATTATCCGTTTATATTATAAACGTTATATCTAACGTGTCCATTTTATTTTGTTACAGGCGAATTCAAACTGGTGGCTCTATTTAAAAGGTATTTAAATAATTTATTTTATTCAATATAAAAGTTAATCTTCTCTTTAATTGAAATTGTTAACATAATTTACTTAAAGCAATCCGAATTCGCAAATGATTATTTCACTTGGAATTGTATGATTTTAGTAACGTTAATTCTCTTACATGATTCCTGCCCCTAGGGGTAAACATAAGACCTTCTGGGCGGTACGCAAATAAAATCGATAATGGCAAGCAGGAGCACAAAAACCAATTGCATTAGGGGTCTAAATGTTCATAATACATTTTTTGCAAGAACGTTTGAAATGTAATAAGGCGAAGTTGCTTGTTTTTTAGAGAGACAATTTATTACAAACCATTAAAAAAAAATTGCGTTAGAGGTTTGTTTGATATTTGAAGTTAGCTTGTTTCGGAGTCATGACACTGCTGGTTTTAGTGTAGACATCAAGTGGCCTTCAATTTGAAGATCATCCATTTTGAAATACTCCAACCCAAAATTGAAGAAGAGTATTTAAAAAGTTTCATTGTAAATAATTGGGAAAGAATGATTACTGGACTTGCTTCTTACTTCTTTAAAGAACATCATTAATTGTAAAAAAATATACCACGTCACTTTTTGGGCCTAACTTAGTGTTTATCTTGTTATGTTGATTATGATTATGTTGTTATGTTTCCGATTATCTTGGTCTGGCTTTTCTTGCTAGGTTTGCCTGGCAGACATGTTTTATAATTTATGTAAAAACAAGATGGTGAAGCACGCCTTCCAGACCAACTCTGCAAAGATAAACACATAGACAAGGATGATCGGTAACGATCACATTACAGGTTTATTACCCTGGAAAAGACAAGAGGAAATCTCTCGATTTAGTGGAGTACTGTGAACCCTCTAAAGTAGCAATTACGTTTTTGTTGCCGTTTACAAGCAACGAGCTTGTATACAGGAATTTTCTTCTTATACTGACATAAAAAATAACTGCAAGAAAACACTAGATGGAGTTCCGGATTTGAACCTAATTTTGAAAAACGGTGGGAATCTAAAAAAATTCCATTACTTTTCAAATAATTGTTTATGTTGTTTTCTAGTATCTATGTTTGTTTAATTTTTTGGTATCTGATCCAACGAATTATTGATTGATAAGTTCTTCCTATCATACCTACGTTTTCATTTTTATTATTACGCAACTCTGTACTTATCCTGGACTGCGGTATGGTGTGGGAAGATATGACAAGGCGTGGAGGGATGTACCCGAAAGATTAGGGGTCGATAGTACGATCTTAGGATCAGAACCAGCAGAAAATACTTGGACTGGAAAAAGTTGAGAATCACTAGTATAGAAAGATATTGGCTTAGTGTTTTTTTAGTATATAGTGTTTTTTTCTTCAAGTTCATGACGTGATGAACTTTTGGTTAACCAAGTAATCCAGATTTACCCGTTCACGCTAGTGTTATTTCTCGTTTTAATTACATTTTCAAAATAAGCATTCGGCTACCATAAAGCATTGGATATGTTGTGTTTGATCAATACTGATGCCTGCCAGCAGACTGGATTCCGCGTACTCTCTCAACGACATTATCGGTTTTATTAATTTTTTAATTTTTTCGCTAAGAACTCTAAGAATTGCGTATCTATCTGGATCTATTATGTTGCCGACTCTGGAGTGTCACACGTCGAGATTAGTGCCGGGAGCTAATTTAATGTTATATGACATCACGTTTGTTCGAGTTTATCGGTGAATCTTGAGTCGACTTTTTAAGTCCATCAACAGCTCCTCAGCATTCCTAACCGAATTGAGGGACAAGGTGTCCTCACGGGATGAGAGGGTAATGCGCTTGGAGGGATCTAATTTAAAATGTACCGAGCTTGTGGGGTCTATAACAATTTGAGATTGAGATATAAAGTTCTTGTCTAATGATGGTCACTCGGTTAGCACTGATGTGGTCAAATAAAATACTTTTAATTTTAAATCTTCGCCTAGGTTTCGGAATTTCGGAATAAATCAATCGGTTTCTTCGGAACATTATTATACCAACTTCAGGGATCTACAAAAGTATATACTATATATTTTTAATTTTAGGGAATTTAACAGCAATATATGTAAGAATGTGATACACATTTTTGTACATATGGTTTTTAGTCAGAAGTAAATAAACTTGAATTGTTTTGTTTCATGCTTCACAGAAAGTTTGTTTCTCACTTTTTTCTTCTATCGTTGTTTTTAATTGTATTATTTCTACTGCCTGTGATATTATATGAAACTAGTCTAGTCATTTCATAGTTGAAAGGGTAAAAAAAGTGGGAAAAATCTTTCAGTGCTACATGAAAATAAAACAATTCACGTTTATTTACTTCTGACTAAAAATCAGTAAGTACAAACATGTGTATCATATTCTTACATATATTGATGTTAAATTGGCAAAAATTAAAAATGTATAATATGTCCTTTTGTAGAGCCCTGAGAAGGTACAATAAAGTTCCGAAAGCTAGGCAAAGATTTAATTTTTTTTTACCACATCCCTGATAAAGAAGTGAACATTATCTGCATTAGCTGGCCGATAAATGTACAAAACTTCATGCCTAATGTTGCGTCCGCCGTTAGATTTTGGATTACATAAACTTATTGTGGCCATGTGAATGTATTAATTTTGATGTTCCATTTAATTGTGCGCGAAGACTTGGTATTTTGTTTGTTTGCAACGATGAATTTAGTGACCGTTTTTTCACTTTGAGCTATTTTATTTGTGGACAGATTTTCATAGAATTTGGAAGATGCGGAAAAAATTGATGATCCCGTGTGAATAAAGAAAGAAAATGGCTTTCTTGTACTTTTGTAGGGGCATACAAATTTATTAATTTTGTGAGTTTTAAATGCTCGGGCTCGGCTGACTAATGGTCATACAACCTCGGGATTGGTTTTGACTTGCAATTTTGTCATGGAGTCGCGTCCGGTTTCGTGACTGATTTTGGCCTTAAAATTGGCTGTTTAGTGGCGGTTTACAGCGACAATTTTTGGGAGAGGACTATCTCGGCAAATTATGGCCTTAGTTTGAGGCCTTTTTATCAACTGTTAATTATATTAATTTATTCTTTATTTTATATAGACTCAGTCGGAGATAGGGTCTACGTTTGATCTTGTTATCTCCACTGTATTTTATGGGCCTTACAGATCCACTCCTGGTCAGTCTGTTTTTTCATCACTCAAAATTATTTTATATTTTTCAAACCAAAATATTATTAGGCGTTATGTTTTCCCAAGTTTTGGAGATTTTGTAACTTATTTTGGTGATATTGTGACATTTTACTTGCTAAAATATCATGGTCCATATAGGCGTTAAAACAAAACTTTGTTTGATATTAGATGGTCAGATGCAACCAAAGCACAATAAAAAATGTACATTATTTTGGAAATTTCCCCCGAAGTATACACTGTAAAAACATTAGAAGAACATAACTTATATAATGCAGAACTGTAAATGAAAATATAGAAAATGAGCAAGAATTAAAGCAAACTTGTTCTTGAGAATTAATGGTACACTAGACCAAACTTTAAAGGTACAATCATAGTGTCGACATTCCTTGTACAAACAAAACATTAAAAGAAAAATCATCATTAGACACCATTAAACCGTGTCATTAGACATTCACTGCATATCCAAAGCCACTATCTGTATCTCACTCACCTGGCGTGCCGAGAATATAAATTTTGTGGAAATAATGATTGAAATTGGAACAACAAACGTTACGGTAAAATCAAAACTCATCAATCAAAAATTTTAAGAAAAATCATTCAGTTTAGAATTTCAACCTGCTGTAATATAACTGAGGGCAGAAATGAATCGGAAATTACAATTATTGTTCAAATAGCAGTCGTTTAGAATGTTTCGTAAAAGGGTTTTCTTTTCGGACGATTGAGTTCGAAAGAGGAAAATTACTGAAGTCGTCCCTGGCAAAGTCCTTGTGAATAGCCTTCAAGAAATCCAATAGGTTGCACCCGACGAGTAAGTTCAGCTGGGAAGTTCTATATTCATTCCCTTAGGTAATCCTTACTCCAAAGAACAGAATTTTTTTTTTCCTTCTCTAGGATGTGGTTTGTAAGAATTTTAACACTTAGCCAGTGTTCAATCTCTAAGCTTTTCTCCTCAATAAAAGAAGTCTTGTCTTTTCCTGGAAGTTATGAGAATCTGTATTTAGGAATGTAACTAGTAATGGGGAGCATGCCAACCCACCAGATCCAAATTTCGCTCCTACAGATATTCCGAAGAAATATCTTCCTTGAGCACTTGCTGTCAAAACGAAATTATTATATCAGTGTCGATATTTTTGGTGTATTTCAATTCTGTAATCAGATTATTTTGCCTCCTTTCCAGATTTTCAAGCAGTAAATACGAACCAGGAAGGCTCGTCCGCAAGCAGTTATTCTCAGTGCATAAACATTTCCTCCTTTAGTGAAAGATCACTTTTGAGAGTGCTTATGTTATTAATTACGAGAGACGAAAGTTCATTATGAGTTCGGCAACAACAGTTTTTATTGCAGATAGAAGTTATGGATATTACGTCTGTTACTTCATTCTCGGGATAAGTTTTTTAATGTTACGTTTCGATACGTTTTGAGAAGTGCAATTTCTCTTTTATAGGACGCGGCAACAGTGAAAAAAGAATGTGGATGTGTTTTGATGTGTACAAAAATATGGTCGGTTACCAGGACTTTCCGAGTACAAAAGTTGCATAAATTTCATTGAAAAACTACTACTAGTAATTCTCACTTGAGTCAACTGCAAAAACTGTTGAACCAAACTGCCACATAAAAACTATAAACTAGATATAAATAACAAAGCCGATCTGATCCCTGCCACTGCTAACATTTAACTCTATAAAACCAGTAATGACAATACATTCAATAACTTCCAGAACACATGGTGAGTAACATAAATTTTGATCATTTAGATGTTAGCTAAATCTCCAGATTTTACGTTTAACCACCTCTATCAATAACAAAAGCAATATTTCAATTTATAATGAT